CCCCTCCCGGTGGGCCGGGCCGGGCCGGAGCCCACACCCGAGCCGGGGCCTGCCCACCCGCGCTGGGCGGGTCGTACACGCACGGGGCGGACACTCTAACCGGAATCGCGGTCTGCGTTCCGGCCAGGGGACAGGGACAGGAACGGCATAGTGGCCCCCGGCACCGGTGAGGCTGGTTGGTTGGCCAGGTTAAAGGAGCAGAGCTGAGCTGCGGACTGTCACCTGCTGTCCTACGCCTTGTGCCAAGAAAGGTAAATACAGAGCAAGGCTGTGAAAATCAGAGTGCCCTCGGTAAAGAAGAAAACTGCACTGCCTTGGACTTCAAGAAGGCTCACTGAGCCAGGCACGCTGGCTCACTCCTGTCATCCAGGCTTCTCGGGAGGCTGAGAGCTGAGGGTCGAGGTTGGAAGCCAACCCCAGGAGGGAAGTCTGTTGAGATTCCTATCCTTAATCACCAAAAAGCCAGAAGCACTCCTGTGGCTCAAGTGGCAGAGACTTGGAGGGGAAAAAAACCTCAAGAATACTCTGGCGCGGGTGGCTCACGCCTGTAATCCTACTCAGGAAGCTGAGATCTGAGGATCTCGGTTCAAAGCCAGCCCAGGCAGGAAAGTCTGTGAAACTCTTATTTCCAATAAACCACCAGAAAACCGGAAGTGGCGCTGTGGCTCAAGTGGTAGAGTGCTAGCCTTGAGCTGAAGAGCTGAGGGACAGCACTCAGGCTGAGTTCAAGCCCCACGACCAACCAAAAAAATAAAACAAAAACCTCAAGAACAGTGCCTAGGCTCTGAGTTTGGGCCCCAGGATTAGCACCAGAATAAAAAAAGAAGTTTCACTGAGAACCTACCTGTCCCAGGCTATAGGACACTGACTGGCATGTGATGTGTTAGTACAGAGTGTTGTACAGGTTAGTACAGAGTGTTGGGCAGGTAGATCCACTAGAGGTGAACATTAGGTGATTTATACCCTCAAGAAACCCTTTGGGGGCCTGGGAAGGTGGCTCAGTGATCGAGTGCTTGCCTTGTGTGCATGAGGTCCTGGGTTCAATTCCTCAGCACCACATAAGCAGAAAAAGCTGGAAGTGGTACAGTGCTCACCTTGGCATTCAAGCTCCATGATCGACAAAAAGAAAAAAAAAAAAAAAACCCTTTGGGGCCAGAAGGCCTTGGCTCAGGCCTGTCATCCTGGCTGCTCAGGAGTCTGAGATCTGAAGATCACAGTTCAAAGCCAGCCAGGGCAGAAAAGTTCTTGACACTCTTATCTCCAGTTCATCATGAAAAAAGCAGAAATGGCACTGTGGCTCAAGTGGTAGAGGGCTAGCCTTGAGCTGAAGAGCTGAGGGACAGCGCCCAGGCCCAGAGTTCAAGCCTCACAACTGACACGCGCACGCACACCAGAAGAAACCCTTTGGTTACAACAGTCAAGCATAACATGTCTTCCTGGTGGTTTCATGGAAGCATACATACTTTGGCCTATGAAGCCTGCCCTGTGGGCTTGCGGGGTGTTATATTGAGTTTCTACATTGACGGGGTAAAATCGACATGTGAAGGTGGGAGTGTGAGGCACTCCAGACTAATAACAGCAGACGTCCAGTAGCAAGAACAAGTAAGGTGCCCTCACTGCTCTTGGTTTGTTTTTGCTGGTTGTGGGGCCTGAACTCTGGGCCTGGACACTGTCCCTCAGCTCTTCAGCTCAAGGCTAGCGCTCTACCACTCGAGCCACAGTGCCACTTCCAGCTTTTTCATGATTAACTGAGGAATCAAACCCAGGGCTTCAGGCATGCAAGGCAAGCACTCTACCACTGAGCCACCTTCCCAGAACCTGCTCTTTGTTTTGTGCTGGTACTGGTGCTTTAACTGAGGACCTGAATGCTGTCCCTTAGCGTTTTTGTGCAAGGCCACTTGAGCCATGCTCTACTTCCAACTTTTTGGTGATAATTTGGAGATGAGTCTCATGGACTTTCCTGTCCAGGCTGGCTTTGAACTGTGATCCTCATACCTCAGTCTCCTGGATAGCTAGGATTATAGATGTGAGTCAGTAACTCTGCTCTTGATTCATTAAAATCTAGAACGTGAACATTTGGGGTCCCTCACTCTACATACATACATTTGCATACATTAAAATCTGGTTTACGGGTGTTGTTTTTTTTGCCAGTCCTGGAGCTTGAACTCGGCCTGGGCGCTGTCCCCGAGCTGCTTTTGCTCAAAGCTAGCATCCTACCACTTGAGCCACAGCACCACTTCCGGCTTTTTCTCTGTGGTACTGAGAAATTGAACCCAAGGCTTCATGAATGTTATTTGTTTTGTTTTTTCTTTGTTGGTTATAGGGCTTGAACTCAGGGCCTGTGCACTGCCCCTGAGCTTTTTTGCTTAAGGTTAGCACTCTACCACTTTGAGCCACATTGACACTTTCACTTTTCTGGTGGTTGATTGGAGATAAGCGTCTTACAGACTTTGCTGCCCAGGCTGGCATTGAGCTGTGATCCTCAGATCTCAGCCTCTTGAGTAGCTTGGATTGCAGGCGTGACTACTGGAGCCCAGCCAGCTTGTCAGTTTGAGCTGAACATAGCTATTTGAACTTCCTCTCTTTAAGAGTCACAGTTAGGCCAGTTAGTGCCTGTAGCTCACTCCTGTAATCCTAGCTACTGAGGAGGCTGAGATCTGAGGATCAAGGTTCAAAGCCAGTCCAGGCAGGCAAGTCTGTGAGTCTGTTATCTCCAATAAACCACCAGAAGACCGGAAGTGGCACTGTGGCTCAAGTGGTAGAACACTCACCTTGAGCCAGAGAGCTGAGAGACAGCGTCCAGGCCCAGAGTTCAAACCCCATGACTACCAACAACAACAAGAAAAAAGTCACAGCGTGGGGGCACTGTGGATCCTGTAGGGATGCACTGGGCCAGGTAGGAAGGCGAAGTCTAGATAGAGGGAAAGAGCCAGACTGGAGCAGCTGAGGAAGGGGTAGAGGCCAGCCTGGAACGTGGTGTGTTCCATTTTGGGAAATACTGCCATTCCCTTTGGTGCCACCTTTTCACTGGGCTTACCATTTTATCTGAATCTGTAGGCTGCCTCTATCCCAGATTACCGTGGTCCTAATGGAGTGTGGACGCTGCTTCAGAAAGGGAGAAGCGTGAGGTGAGCTGCTCATGCACAGTCTTACCACGGGCAGCGCCTCTTCTCCGCTGCCCCTCTCCGTCCCTCACCTCTGCTCCCCCTTCTATTTGGCAGTGCTGCTGACCTGAGTGAAGCTGAGCCTACCCTCACACACATGAGCATCACCCGTTTACATGAGCAAAAGCTGGTAAGAGCCCTCTGGCCAGCAGTTCCTGCCCACGGTCATGCCTGGAGCTGCCTGCCAGTGCCCAAGAGGGAAGCTGCAGTTTCCCAGTGGGCTCTGATGGACACCCGGAATGGGGTTACTCACCCGAGTCATGCTGTGCTTACGGGCCTGTCCTGAACTATACGGTCCAGGCTGGTCTCCACCAACCCCTTCAGCTTGCCTTGGCGTGTGCAGGGGCTGTGGAAACCTGGTGGCCTGGGGAGGATCACAAGGAACCTCAGCTGAGGGCCTCCATCCAAGTAGGGAATGGTAGATCTGCCTGGCCCTGGGAGACAAGAAACAGTGACCCGAAGAGATGTGGATCTGGGCTAGAACATCTACGTCCCAATGGGCTGAAAGTTAGCTCTGGCCCTGGCTGCTCAGGCTGGACACGGAAGTTTTGTGGCCATGGATGCTTACTCCTGACTGCTCCACGTTCTGCCCTCCAGGTGCAGCACGTGGTGTCTCAGAACTGTGACGGGCTCCACCTTCGGAGCGGCCTGCCACGCACGGCCATCTCAGAACTCCACGGGAACATGTATATCGAAGTGAGCAGTCTCACGGGGATGCAGGGCCTGAGTGCCAGGCAGGCCCACTCACTGTGCCCTCTTGTTCTCAGGTCTGCACCTCCTGCATCCCCAACCGGGAGTATGTGCGCACGTTCGATGTGACAGAGCGTACTGCCCTCCACCGGCACCAGACAGGCCGGGCCTGCCACAAGTGTGGGACTCAGCTCCGGGACACCATTGTGCACTTTGGGGAGAGGGGGACATTGGGGCAGCCCCTGAACTGGGAAGCAGCCACTGAGGCTGCCAGCAGAGCAGACACGATCCTGTGCTTAGGCTCCAGCTTGAAGGTACGGTGTGCCACCACCGTGAACTTCTGTGGAGGTGCATGTTACAGCCCTGCCTGCCCAGGCCATCCTGTTGGCATGCCTCTGCTCACATGCATGTGCTGTGTCTGCCCGTTTCCACAGGTACTGAAGAAATACCCTCGCCTATGGTGCATGACCAAGCCCCCCAGCCGGCGGCCCAAGCTCTACATTGTGAACCTACAGGTAGGCTAGGTACACAGAGCTGTGTCCTTAGACCTAAGCCTTACATCTGGAGATCCAAGAGATGTGTTACATTTTTGCAACTTAAAGATCCTAGTGCACGCTAGCTGGTGGCTCATGCCTGTCATCCCAGCTACTCAGGAGGCTGAGATCTGAGGATCACAGTTCAAACTGGGAAGGTCCATGAGAACCTTTCTTTTCTTTTCTTTTTTCTCTGGGTCGTGAGGCTTGAACTCTGGGCCTGGGCGCCGTCCTTGAGCTCTTCAGAACACTTTACTACTTGAGCCACAGCTCCACTTCTGGTTTTCTAGTGGTTAATTGGAGATAAAGAGTCTCACAGATTTTCCTGCCCAGGATGGCTTTGAACCATAATAAACTACAATAAACTACTAATAAACTTCAATAAACTACTCCGCAAAAGCTGGAAGTGGCACTGTAGCTCAAGTGGTAGCATACTAGCCTTGAGCACAAAGAGGCTCAGGGACAGCACCCAGGCCCTGAGTTCAAGCCCCAGGACTGGCAGAAAATTAAAAAAAATCTAGAATAAGCTGGGCACCTGTGGCTCACATCTGTAATCGTAGCTACTCAGGAGGCTGAGATCTGAGGATCATGGTTCAAAAGCCCGCCTGGGCAGGAAAGTCCGTGAAACTTTTATGTCCAGTAAACCACTTGAAAACCGGAAGTGGCACTGTGGCTCAAGCAGTAGAGTGGAGCGCTGGCCTTGAACTGAAGAGCGCAGGGACAGCGCCCAGGCCCAGAGTTCAAGCCCCATGACGGACCAAAAAAAAAATCTAGTACAAGGTCAGGCAGGTGCCTCCGGAGCTCGCGTGGGTGCCTAGAAAGCAGTGGCCCAACCTGCAGGAAACGAGGCTGATGGGCCTCAGGAGCAACGGGGATCTAGCCTCATTTGCCTTTCCTGTGTTCAGTGGACCCCAAAGGACGACTGGGCTGCCCTGAAGCTTCATGGGAAGTGTGATGATGTCATGCAGCTGCTCATGGGTGAGCTGGGCCTGGAGATTCCCCTCTACAACAGGTGAGTGGCCCGTCCCCCCACGCCTCTGCCCTGTGTGGTGGGCTGTGTCTGTCTTCCATAAGCTGAGCGTGTTGGGAACTCTGAGTTCTTGCAGCCACCTTCTGAAGGCTGTGGACGTGTGGCGGCCTCCAGAGGGACCGACTGAGGCGAGGCCAGACTCCGTGTGTACACGCTTCTCCCTGGCTAGTGTGCTGCCGAGTCCCCCCAGGCCCGGAAGCCACCCAGTGTGTTCTTGCAATTTTCCCCTGCTGACCTCTCCAGGTGGACATGGGCACACAGGGACCTCAAGGGGATGAGACTGCAGCTGTGGCCAGACAACCATAGTGTCCGAGGGGCTGTTTTTGTTCTTGTTGTTGTGTTCTTTATTTTATTACTATTATTTTTTTTTTTGGTGGTTCTGGGGTTTGAACTCAAGGCGTTGTGCTTGCTAAGCTGGATCTCTTACTACTGAGCCAGGCCTCCAGCCTGTGTCCTTGGTTTTGGGAGTTGGCATATTTGGGGAAAGCTTAAAGAAACTGCCTTAATACAGAATTTGTGATAATTTAGATATGGTGCATGTATTGAGTTAAAAGTTTACACTCTCTTTCTCTGTGAATTTTCAGGGTCTTATAGGGGAAATCAATAACTTCTTTTAATCAAAGGGTTCAAGAAATTAAGGATCCCTTCACCTCTGGCCCTGGCAATTCTTGTATGTTATGTTTGTGGTGTTCTGTGACGTGGGCCTATTGTGTCCTGTATTTTTTTTTCCACATTAACTTAGCTCATTTCCTTTATCAGTGCTTCTCTGTATCTTGCGTTTATGATATGTGGTTCTACATCTCAATCAAACACATGATTTCTTCACGGTGTAGTCCGTAGGCCACATGTCCCTAGTCAGCTGGCTTCCCTCCTGTCCCTGTCATGCAGTCTGGGAAGAGGGAGAGGGTCTGGTCTGCCCGCCCACAGCCATACTAGTGAAAGATGGGGCCCAGAGTTGCTAGTGACTTGTCCCTGGAGCTGAAGGTGCCCTGGAGTGCGCACAGCCACTCATGGTGGATGAGATGCGGAGTTCTGGAGGGGCTGGCCCTCATTTAGCCACAGGGAGAGATTACCTCCTGGAGCTCTTCCTGAGCTGTGTGAGGACTCAGCTAGACTCACCTAAGCCAGCCACCCTGAAGACAGGGAGGGGAGGGGCTGAAAGGCAGGTGGCCTCAGACAGCTTCCCTTGAGCCAGGGTGGGTTGTAAGGCGTCTCTCAGACCTGCCTGACCAGTCTTCCCTTTTGGTAGGTGGCAGGATCCCATCTTCTCCCTGGCGACGCCCCTGCGTGCTGGTGAAGAAGGCAGCCACAGTCGGAAGTCGCTGTGCAGGAGCAGAGAAGAGGCCCCGGCCGGGGAGCAACGGGGAGCCCCTCACAGCTCAGCGTCCATCCGGGGGGGCTGGTTTGGCAGGGGCTGTGCTAAACGGGCAAAACGGAAGAAGGCGGCGTGACCTGTTGCTGCGGGAAGAACAGTTGGCACTTTGCAGGTGGCGGGCGGGAGCTGCCGGGCCCCTCACCGCGCCGGCCGGCGGGCTGCCCCGTCCCTGCGGGCAGGCGGCCGCCCAGGGCTTGCCAGCAGGGCCGCGCCGGCCCGCCGCCAGTCTCAGGGCCCCTTCCTACCGCTCCCCACTGCGTCGATCACTTTATAGAAACTTACGCCAGGGGCGGTTCCGAGCCTTGATTAAACACCGCTGCATCGCCTCTGTCCGGGTCCCTGCTGTTCCCCGAGGCGCCGCCGCGAGGGCCTCGCCTGGGCCCCGCCGGCCCCGGTTTCGCCCAGGCCGGGATCGGCTCACGGCTCGGCTCCCGGTGAGCGGCGGGGCCGGCAGGAGAGGAAGGGGCGGGGCCTGTCATGCAGCGCACGCTATTGGCTGCGCCGGCGGGCGGGGGGCGAGGCACGTCATTGGTCACGCGCGTCTGACGGAGGGGGCGGGGTTCCTGTGTGAGGGGCGGGGCTCTGGGAGGCCGCCGCGCGCCATTGGCTGCGCGGGGCGGGTGAGGCCCGCGTGACGGCGCGGGGCGGAGCGGGAC